ACATTACAGGTTGCTAACAAATCAAAGCTCGTAGCGTCAACTACCTCAGATCGCGGAAACAACTCACCAGAGCCGCATACCTCAGCGAATCATTAAATGCCTATGTGGTAGTAGCTGTACTGCCCGCGTTTGCACTTAAAAGGATGCAGATGCTGCTGGAATTAACTAATCTCAAATGCAAGCACCTGAATTACGCAGGAGTGATGTGTATATGACGAGTGCAATATGTTCCCGGTATTTAATAAAACCCTTTTTATTTCTCAATCTCATAATTATTTGTCGCTTTAATAGCGACATACCTTTCTCAAACCAACCAAATCAGAAGGTGGATAGCAAATGCAACGATGTACCACTACGCAGCAGTACGCTCAATGTCGGAACCTGTTTACACCTCATCGGCCTTGAAAAATCTTGAGGTTGATCAATTTAGACATCAAGGTAAACTGTTTAAATTAACTAAGACCTTCCAATTTCAAGGCAAACAATGCGCAGTTCTAAAGAATTCAATTTTTACTTATGCTTGACTATGCACCGAAGTGGCTGAGCCGAGCTTGGATTCGGCAACTTTAAGTCCTGGTTAACTTAGCAACTCCTTGCATGTCCTATGATTAATCAAAGTTCAGTCCTAGGCTTCCCAAATACCAGTTGAATTCCCACCACCAAGCAGCAACTCCCGTTGAGACAGATTGAGCATCCAGGACCTTGTTGCTGGGTGCTTTAATGCTTGATAATTCATGTAATGTCATTTGTAGCTTGTAGCGAACATCACCGCCAAAATTGCATAAACATGTAGACCATCCTCCTGTCGTGCGATTTCTATTTTCCACTGCTTGTAACTATGTCACTGCGACAACCTATAGGGTTCGCATATTTTCCCCTGACTTAATTTTTGTATGGCTCATACCTGGGCCTCTATGGAGGCTGAATGCTCCTTCTCGCGGGCTGACTGGAGCAAAAGGCTAGCATTGCGTGCGTTTTCACGTTCAGCGACCGCATTTTCATTAGCTTGAAGAAGTGCAGCCTCCGTAGATTGCAGTTTTGCGCGTGCATCTTCCGCTTCTACGCGTAATTGCACAGCCTCATGCTCCTTTGCACTTCGCACAGCTTCTGCCCGAACCAAAGAGTCACGCAATCGCGACACCTCCGCCGCCAGTGCCTCTACCTCTGCTCGTGCTAGGCCCGCTGCCTCTGTTGCCTCACTTACCTGCTGGTTCAGATTCTGAATCTGCGGCAAGGAACGGAGATGAATGGAAAGTGACACCAGCAGATGTGTCACGCTTGTAGTGACAATGTGTTGTTTGATAAAACACACATCACCATTGTGTCGTCAAATTGGGTGAGATTGTTAGCAAAAGCACAAAGATCGAGTCAGTTCACTAGCCATTATCTACCATTTGTTAGGGCTGAGATCTATGAGAATATGTAAACACTTATGTTTAAGTGACACAGTCAAGATCTTGGAAGGTGCTCAGCAAATAACAAACAAGCACAAACTTTACTCTCATTTTTTGCTTTCATATTAACCATCGCTGATAGTTTACTGTACTTCCTACCTGATTCTCAGCCTTTTCGAGAGCAGTCTTGCATTGGGAGAGCTCGCGTTCCCGCGCCTCGAGGAGATCCCGCAGGCGAACCACCTCAGCGGCGCTCTCGTCACTGTGGAGTCGCGCGGTTGCCGCGGCTGCTTCGGCCTCCGTCCATCGTGTGCGCCACATATCCGCGTCTTCAGCCGCTGCGCGTGACTGCTCTGCAAGGAGGTCGCGGTCCCTTGCTCTTTCACCCAGTAGACGCTCCTGTCGTGCCAACTCCGAAAGGTAGCTGTCGGCTCGAGCTTTAAGTGACTCTCGTTCATCTGCAGTCTCCTTTGAGAATAATTTCGAGATTAGTGTCAGTCGTTTGAAATTGATCCACGAGACTGCTTGTCGCAATAACATCACTGCGACAATTCGACTTCTTCGGAAGCTATGTTGGGTCAGGGATTTTCGATGGCTCAATAACGAAATTATTTAATAGCCTTTTTCGCTATAGTATCAGTACTGACAATGGTCTGCATATTGTCAACAAGTTGAATCAAATTTTAACACCACAAAACGACTGATCAACCTCCCAACTCATTGTAGCTTCGAGCAGAAAGCATCAAGAATATTTTTCCAATATGCAAAAAATACTACAAGTAGTTTTATGCTTTTTGTCACCAAGTCTTACTTGGCAGGCTTTCAACAGTGAGAAGGCTAATTTTCTAACGCCGCCAGATTCTATCCATATATAGCGGCCTTCAACTCACATGAAGCTCAGTTTGAAGACGCTGAAGATCCCTCATGGCAGACGAGAGTTCATCCCTGATTCTAGCACTCTCCTGTTCTCCACCGTCCAGTGCTCGCCTGCTTTCTCGCAAGCTGCTTTGTGCGGCTGCCAATTCACCCCTCAGTGACTGCTCAGCTGCCTGACTTGCCTGTTACAGAAAGGAGACTAAAACATTTTGTGTAATAAGGTTCAAAAGTATGTCCAAAACAAAGCCTAAAGCTACAATGCAACTTTTATAAGGTCGATTTGACTTGCCCGACTCATATCGGAAAGTACATTACATCCAAATATCAAGTCAAGACTAGGAACCTAGTAAAAAGAGTGGGACTTCTTTCACCCTGAAGCACTGACTGGGAAATAGGCAACACCACAGTGCGCTGATTGAGATAAAAAGTAAGTGTAATGTTTTCTCGTGATTTAAGCTTGGTAACACAAAGGGAAATAAATAAGGTAAGCTTGCCATAAGCTGTTCCTCTTTGCGAGCGAGCACACGAGCATTCGCATCGAGAGCGCTGCGTGTTTCCTTGATTTCCAGCAATTGAGAGGTTAATTGAGCCTCCAGGTCAGAAATACGCTGAGCCATGAGTTTGCGATTAGCCTACACGATAGACATTAAATGTTATCATTCTTTGCATTTCCACATTATATATAGCTTTCGCGAGAATGAATAATCAAAAAATCACAAAGCTTACCTCTTCTGCGTCTCTTTGTTCCTCTGTAGCCTCCAATCGAGATCTGACCTGAAGGTAGTCGTCGTGTTCGAGGCGTAGCTCCCTCTCCAGCTGATTTGCCCTCATTTCAACTTGGTGAAATCGCTCCTCCATATTGCGGTGTTTGTTCATGGTTTCCGTCAACTCAGTATCCATGTCGTCGCATCGCTGCCTCATGGTTTCATTTTGTCTTCGCAAGTCTGCAACCGTTTGATGTTCCTTCTAATTTTAATTAGTGTACACTTTGATCAGGCATTTTGGAATAACAAGAAAATTTAGTCGCTATTAGCAAAGGTGATCAACTTTGTGTGTTCTACTTATCGATACTACGAGTTAAAACCGCAACTAATTCTCCAAGTTCGGATGTTAAGCCTCTTCACTAAAATACGCAAAAACTTTTAAAATCTGGAAAACTCGTCAAAAGTAGTGAATAAGGCCTAAAATCATACATGAGGAAGTTTCATATATCTTGAATTTGCGATTCAAAAGTAGTCCAGAGAAATTGGAGGAGAGAAGTACAATTCCCAGTATTTTCATTGTGCACAAGCGTGTAAACGGGCTAACAACTTATCGCGCTGCCATCAGGCAGGTGCAGAGGCGCCAAAAAGGGGACAAAATAATTACTGCTGCCAATTTAATAGTAGCACGAATTTTGACTGACACTTGCAGCTTCAGTTTGGCGCTTCAAATCAGCCTCGGTCGAGCGTACATCAGCTTCTAATTCGGCAATTCTTTCACGAGCCACCATGTGTCGATGTGTAACATCCTCGCGATCCCTAACAAGCTGACGGTTGGATGCAGTGAGGTCTTCTATTAGTGCCTCCAGTTTTGTTTTATCCTTACTGGCCAGATCGATGTTATTCTGAAAGCCCAACAATTGAATAAACGTGTTATAAACAAAAGTAGGATTTATTTAAAATATATTTAACGAGCTTGGTCTTTCCCTATCATATACACAATGTCTCTCAATCTATCAAATCCTTGTAGATACGAACAGATCCTTGCATCAATGACACCATTCTAAATTAAAGGTGCAGACAGTCTCTTACGATTCTTGTAGGCGTACGTTTTGCTAGTCGCCTTCAATACAACCTTTTGTTGCCATTAAAAATCCTATATTTGACTATTCGATTTGCTTGTAATATGTTCACTTCATATGACTGATACGCACCTTGAGTAATTCATTCTCCTCCCGCAATCGCTCAACATTGGATTTAAGTCGGTCAACATTATCTGTCAGCGTTTTGACTTGTCTTTCCAAATGGAAGCGAACGTCTTGATTTTCTCGTAGCTCGTTGGTAAGATCTTGAGTGCGAAATCCGCTCTCTTCAAGCCGACGCTCAGCCACTGAGCAA